TTGGGGGGGGGGGAGGTACTTCATAATCCGACTCAATAACTTTCTTGTTACCCTCGAACCATTTCTGCTCAAATCGTTTTGGAAAGGTACGACGGCCATCCCTTCCGATACATTCGGTAAGGTCATTCTTACTCGGTTGAATCGGGCGAGGAAGTCCCTCAATCCCTCTCCCGGTGACTGTTTGATGGCGAATATGTCGTTTACTCTCGCCTCTGCCTTTTTGGCCCCAACATGGGCCGTTACGAACTTGTCAGCCATTTCTTCAAATGTTTCGATGAAACACACGGGAAGCTGCGAATACTACGTTAATGCTCCTCCAATGAGGGTCTCGCAGAAGTTTTTCAGCAAAATGAAGGATATTTGTTCTTTGGCGAGGTCATTGCCTTTCACAACAGTGACATAGTGGGTCACATGGTCCTCGGATCGGTCGTGCCGTCATATATTTTCAAGTAGGGTGACATTTTGAAGGTCTTTGGTATGGCATGTGGGGAGGCGTCGTCGCTATGTGGCTGCTCTACGAACCGACTGGTGTCTCTCTTCGGCAAGAGCTTGGGAGCGCCCGGTATTTTATCGACCTTTTCTTGGTGTTCTCTCATTTGGTCCCGAAGCAACTTGTTATTATTTTTCATTTCCTCCATCCTTTTCAGAATGGTCGTGAGAGCGTCTTCACCTACATTGCTAAAAAAAATTATGAGTAATACTTGTCGTTGCGGGAGGAGAAGGAGGAAGTTGATCATGTTGCTCGTCCACTGGTGGCATAACACAAGTTATTGCATTTTTTGTGGTCGTATCCCGAACGGACTTATGGAGGACGCTGGTTAGCGTATCAGTTAGCCAGGCCTCAAGGAGCTTCTTTATTGCTGGCGGTGCTTCCTCTACCGCGGATGTGTAGGATATCTTACCAATAAATTTTATGATGGTGCAGTGGGGAGGGAGTGACCCACCTCGCCTGGGAGAGGCATTGGATATTGTGTCCTCGACCACTGCTTCAGAGCCCTCATGGATGATGTTCATGAGGTTGGTTGGGAGGTCGCTCATTATTCTTCTTCTTTCGTCTCTGTTACCTGCCATATTAGATATATGTATATAATAAGAGAAAAAGAGAAATTCTTGTTCTTGTTTTGTTTTTTATTTTTTTACGTTAGTGACCAATGTCGATTGTAGATCTAGAAGAAACTAAAAGATTTAACTAGAAGATCCCCACAGACGGCGCCAAATTGCTTGACCAAAAAGTGTAACTTTCGGCTAAACTATTAAATTTATGTAATAATGGGTTGAATCTAATTAAAGATAATAACTCTAGATGCGAATCTTAAAAATGTGTGTGAGATGGGACAGATCCAGTGAAATATTGACAATGATAGGCACAAAACGTTCATAAAGAATGAGCAATAATGGAGGTGTAACTAGCAATAAATAACAATAAATGATATTTTAAGTAAATAATAGGAATGATTCACCTAATAAAGGATGGATTGGACGAATGTTCCTCCTGACAATGATGAATGACAGATAAATTCAAGGTTTGTTCGAATTATTCTCGGATCTGGTGAAAAAATATGGAATAATATAGACAAAAATCTTGATAAAAAGATAATCTTTGTATTTTTACAAGAGATGAAATCTTCTTCTAAAAGTGTTCTTATCAAGTGAATATTACATGCCTTTTCCCTTCTCTATCCCCTTATTTATCCGAGACATATCTCTAGCAAACCCTAATAGTACAAGTGCATAGAATATTCACTAATATCCTATTTTACAAACTAGCCGTTACTGCTCTATCTGCGGTGCTCGACCTCAGTCATTATTGACATCTCGACCATGAGTCTTGCTGCTCCTTAACCGACCTCGACTGACTCTTTCCTTGATACTATATCACCCTAAATATTCTAGGGCGAATTTTATCCTATACAGTTACCAATGGGGCAAGGGAGGTACATCATTTGTTAAATTTGAAGTTTCTACGCATAGGGTTAGCTGGGATAAAAATTTAAGACCATCCACTTTGAGGGCTATTTGTGTAAGTCCGCTAAAATGTGACTATTTGAGGATTTTATCCGTAAGACAATCGGGTTATCGTATCGATCGAAAATTGGGCCTTACTTGTGATGTTGACAAGCCCAAGTATCTTCTTAGCCGTTTTGGGGGGACATTAAAGAAGGAGTGGGTTCAAAAACGGGTCCCAAAATATCATTTGATTGGTTTCAAGTGGACAATTCAGAATGACGCCACAGTAGGCGTCAGCTGAAGCGGCTCAGTCAATTTTCTTTCTCCAAGTCCATTGAACCAACCATCACCACTCTCCGCTCACGCTCGCTCCGCCGATAACTTGCTTCTCTCCGGCGAACTTCTCCGATCTCTTCTCCGGCCACTCCAAGTTGTAAGCTCCCTGCTTCTCTGACTTTCCTGAGACAAAAACCCTAATCCTAAAATGTAGAATAAGAAATGTGAGTTGGATTGATAGGGCTTTGTTTTCTTCAGCTGCATGATGAAACCTCAGCTCCGATTTGTTATAATTCTAAGTGATTTTCACTAGCTGATTTGTTTTTTATTTGCTTCTTATGTGATAATAAATGCAAATTTGTTGCTTGTACTGATCTGGCTTTTGGTGTAAAAGACCAACTTTCTCACAAAACAGGGGAAAATGTAAATATTTACATCCTATTTTCACTATTAGTTTGTTGGAGTGAAAGTCGTAAATGTGTAATTGTTTACTAAATCATTCCAATTATATAAACGTTGGATTATGATTTCTAATAATTTTAAACTTTTGTTATCTTCCATGGTTTTTAATTATAAAAAATGAACAGTATAGCTCTTTATTCCTTCTTTACAAAGGCCTGATGTGATATCTAGAATCTAGAATGGGTTTTTTGCTTGCACTAAGTGATGCATGAGTGCGTTGTGCTGCAAAAAATGGTTTCCTTTACGAAGTCAGTTTCCAATATTTGGTTATGTTGAACAATGAAAAATGTTTTATCGAAGGGATCTATCTCCACCAAAAGGGGGATAAGAACTTCATTCATTTAAATGTCCAACCTCTTACTTTCTACTTGTTTAAATCAGCACTTAGACATTGTTTTCAACCCTTTAATACGAAGAAATAAAACCCAGTACATTATCCTTATAGCCTATGCTACTTGTTGTACGATTACCATTTATCACCTACTTTTATTACCAACCAAACACTATAAAATGAATGATTTCCCAGAAAAACATTTTATGTTATACTAAATGAGCATGAAGCGTAGAAATAACCCACAAGTAGGCTCTTCTTACTAGCTACAATTCCTTCTTGTGCTTAGAGTAGCCGAACTCCTATGCTCTATTGTCAGACTGCTTTCCCAACTGAAGCATATTGTTCACCTCCATATCTGACGCTACTGTATATTAGGAGACATTTATGATCCTATGTTTATTTGGAGCTAGATATAGGGAACTAGCATCCAGCCATAAATATATCCCATCTGCTTATGTGACCAGTACAAGGGCGGCTCAAGCACATGTGAGGCCTAAAGCCAAAGTTTAATGTGAGGCCTAATTTTTTTAAATATTATAATATATATTTTTACTTGAAGTCTACCATTCTAGCTTTTTGAGATGCAAAGTTATTAAAAAAAATTATAATCGTTTTCGTTCAATAATTTCTTTTTAATTGATAATATAGCCTAACCCATTAAATCTTTCTTGAGACATTGTTGATCTTTGCTAAGATTTTATCAATTTTAAATTTTAAAAAGTTGTTTCCTTAGGAACTGTTAACACTATTTTGAAAGCAATATAAATATTTGGAAAAGAATCAAGTCTTTTTTATTTGATTGAGTATATAGTATCTTCTACTTGTACTGTTTTCCTTGTCAAATTAATTTCGATTCACACATTGGAAAAATATTCATACTACCCATTTTTAAGTAAGTCAAACGGTTACTTTATTTACATATCTAAAAAAGCTTTTCTCCTTTTATATTAAAAAATCTACTTTTGTAACTAAAAGTATTATACATTTTATTTTATTTACCTATAAACCTATTATTTCTAAAATATGGGGCCCTCCAAATTTGGGGGCCTAAGGCACAAGCCTTAGTAGCTAGACCATTAGAGCCGGCCCTGGACCAGTAAGTTCATCCTTTAATGGCTGTGAAATCAAACACTTGTAAGTTCTGAGCCGGTGCCATCTTTAAATTCTACCCTCTGGAGTCCGTATCTCTAAGCTTGTTTAAAAGCTACATTATCTTTACTCATCCTCAGCTTACAGGTTTCGGTTCTTCCAAACTTTCTCATTTTTAATTCTTTGTTTTCTCTCATGTCATGGGCCATTAGTTGGGTACCACGAAGTTCTGGTGCAGTATAATTACGATATTGACCTCATGGATCTTGGCCTATGTTCAAAGAGACGATGATTCTAAATCTTGAATACTTCTTTTCTGTTACCTCTGGTCTTTATGGTTCTGCAAAACCATTCATGGGTAAATTGTTTTTCTTGATAACTATCATTGGCTAATGATTCATTAACGAAATCTAATCCGGTCTTTAATCAATCAATGGTGATGTGGTAAAAGTAAAACTATCAAGTGATAAGTAAAGAGATTACTTGCTATTGAATGGGGCTTTTGGAAATCCTCTGATCTTACATTCAGCATACTAGCATGATTGGTTCATATATAGGGTTGTCGACTAGAGACATATTTTCATTGTTTATGCCACTAAGCAGTCCTTGATCTTACACATTTTACAGCCAATTTGAAGTATCTTTGGTATTTGATGTCATCTTTGTGAAAGTACTAGAAATATATGATCTAATTTTTGTTGTCATTTCAATTGTGGTGGCTGCAGTTGTAGACGATGATTATTACTAAGCAGTATCGCTGCATACACTCAGCAAGTTGTAAGTGTACAAAAGGGCATCTTAACGAAGAAATTATATTTCTGGTTTTTCAGCAATTGAATTGGAATCCTAAGTCGATTGCAAGTTTATCTTGTGTATGCAAATGGTTTGATGACCTTGCAAAGAGAGTGCTCTGGAAGGAGTTTTGTAAGACTAGAGCTCCCAAAATGATGCTTGATTTACAGTCTAGTGGGAGTCATAGTGTTGATGGGAACTGGAGAGCTCTTGGAAAGCTTCTTATTTACTGCTCTGGATGTAATAAAGGTGGCTTATTCAATAGCATCCACATTCCAGGACACTTTGTTTATAGAACTAGGTTCTCTAGGACCTCCGGAAAGAGCTTTCTGTTACCACAATGCAGGACAGATGTTTTGTATGTTTCTGATCCTTGCGAGCATCTTGACCAAGGAGATGAGGGGGATATTGGATTTTTTCGGGGAATATTTAAATCCTTTGCTTCCTCAAAAGTTCGTAAAATGTTGATTAAGAGAGAGGCTCAGCTCCATCCAACAGAAGTGTGCCCTTACTGTAAGGCGAAACTGTGGAGCATGCTGCAAGCAAAAATGATACCAGCTAGTGCCAGCTGTAGATTGGGTGCTTATGAAGATGCAATTGAGTATTATGTGTGCCTTAACGGGCATGTGCTTGGGATATGTACCCTCTTGCCCTTGTCTGATTCTGAGGAAGCTTCAGATCACAGTGATGCATAAATGCAGGTATTACGTTGTCAAAATTTACATTTGTATGCTTGACATAAATATATTGGCAATTTTATTTCAGCACTGGCATGTTGCCAATTTAACGTGGCGGAGAGTTCTGCTGTTAACCTTTTATATATTGAATCATGTTTCTCATTATCTTATTTATTTTTGTTGATCAGATAGGAAAAAGATGATAGAAGTCCTTGGATTGTTCTACTGCATCACTGTCTGCAATTGATATATTGCTTTATCCACAGGTGTTAGACGGGTTTCCATCGATTTGGGAACTTGGTGGGTGCTGTTCACTGAGAGATCTAGTCATAGAGCCATTCAGTGGAAGGTCTCTTTCAGTGGACATGGAGTTGTTTCTCCGCAAGCTTGTCACTTCCCAAACTTCTCTGACCAGCGCAGTCCAATGGAATCCTATTCCTGTCCATTGTGTCTCAGTTGTAACAAAGCACCATCAGAGTTTCTTTGTATATTTTATGATCTCAAATGTGCATCTTATTTGAGTGACACGTTGGAATCTGTAACATTTCATTGTTGTTTGTTGTGAAGCAGTTAAGTTACACCATGTAAATTTTGAAAAATTATATGCGATTCTGGTGCTGCCGAGTCTTGCCATTCTTTCAGCTTAAGAACAATCCTCTTCCCCCTCTCCCTCCCCCCTCCCCGGTCCCTGGCCTACATACCTGCCTTTCTAGCGAAGGTAGGAACTCTGCCATCCCCTTCTTGGGGGAAAGATTTAAGTGTAAGAAATGTTACAACTGCCTCTAGACGTTCCTTTTCGTCACTAATCGGCCTTTTTATGGCCATTGAATTGTTATTTTTTCGTGTGCCCTTGGGTTGTAATGATGAGATTGCCTTTTATCTTATAGCCTGTTTGGCCAAGCTTCTCAAGAGGTCAAAAGTGATTTTTTTTTTCAAAAACACTTTTTTCCTAACTTGAGTTGTTTGGCCAAGTTTTTCTCGGGGAAAAAAGTGCTTTTGGGAAGAAGCCGAAACATTTTTTGAAAAGCAGAAAACGTAGCTTTTTTTCAAAAGTAGAAGCAAAAGCAGTTTTGACTTTTCTTTTTACCAAAAATACCTTTAACAAAATATAGTATATACCAAAATAACTGTTAAACCTAATACTTAGGATATTAATGTATAAATATTTCTTATTATTTTTAGGATAGCTTTCTAATATATAGTAAATTTAGGGGTGAATGCTTTTATATTTGTTGAATGATTTTTAATATATTTAACTTATATTAAAAGAATTAAGTACTTTTAAATTTTATTTTCATATTTAAGTATTTAACTTAAATAAAATAAAAAGATTTAATTATTGCCTGTAATAATAAATTTTTAAGATTATTTATTTACTTATAATATTAACTATTAAGTAAATTTATTCATGTTTTATTCGTAATTTGATACTTAAAAGCACTTTCTGAAAAGTTTGGCCAAACACAAATTATTGTTCAAAAGTGCTTTTTAGAGTGATTAGCCAAACACAAATTGTTTCTCTTCAAAAGTACTTTTTTCAAAAGCACTTTTAATAAAAGCACATCTCAAAATAAGCTAATTTCTCCGGCTTGGCCAAACAAGCTACGACAATAAAGAGATAGTTGTATAAAAGAGATAGTTGATTTCTCCAGCTTAGTCTGATTCCTTTAGTTGAAGATAAGGAGAAAGTTGTATAAAGAGGAGCAAAGATATCGGGAGAATGGTGCGAATTATCATTGCACGTTTGCAACTACTTTTCCTCTATGACAATAAGTTGTTTGCCACAAGATCTTTTAATTTGGTTAAAGATATGACTACAAGTTGTTTGCCTTTGCCACTTGACCTTTTAATTTGGTTAAAGATGTATATATCTGCAGAGGAACAAATGCGAGATTTGGAGAATACTCTAATAGTAAAGACGTCTAGTATGTCTTAAACGACAACTTTTGGTGTTGGAATGAAATAAACAACAACATCAACAACCCAGTAGAATCTCACTAGTGAGGTATGGGGAAGGTAGAGTGTACGCAGACCTTACCCTTACCGGAGGTGGGGAGGCTATTTCCGAAAGACCCTCGGCTCAACAGACAAGACAATACTATCAGAAAAGAACAAAAGAATAAATCCGTAACAACAAAAGAAACCAGAAAAATAATAATCAGGATCGAAAGAGACAATAAATAACCCCATACTATGCAAAATGAGAGAAATGGTGTGCACACAACAAAAACCGCTAGTAGTCCTAGACAAAACTCTATCAGACTCGAATAATATGTAACAGACTCAGCAAATTCATGTAATTAATCTCAACTAGTTTTGAATTAAAGTGCATTTAAATAATTAATTGACTGAGTATAGAGAGAGTCAAGGGTGTCAATGGATATTTAAAAATCGACTAAACCGACCCAATCGTACCTTACCGAATCGATTTTTAGGTTTCTTTTAATAAGGTTTTTATATAGATCTATAACCTTACCGATAATTAGGGTAAGTTTTTAATTTTATGAAAATAAATCAAAAAAATACCAAAACGTACCGAATGAATTTACATGTTGAAAATATATTTATATACTAAGTTTAAAACTAATAAAGCATTAAATTTTTCCTTGGGCCCTGAAATTATGAAAATGGTTACAAGCCAACAAATAATTAAACTCAAAATCTTAATTCTCAAACCTATTATGTTACTCCTACTGAAACTAAATTATTTTCAGTATATTCACTAGCAAGATACAAGGTATTCTAGTGATTATGAGAAGCAAACTAAAATGTATAAAATATATTTCCTTTCGTATGATTTAGATTTATCTTTTTGAATATTTAATCTTCTACGGACTTTATTCTTGAGTCTCAGCTTGGTTAAAATCAACCGGGATTTAGTTGTGGTGAATAAAAGTTGCTTCACGGTCGCAGACAAAAATGGGCTGGATCTTATCTAAGGCCCACTATTCAAGGCCCATTATGCCAGTAGATTTTTGTAAATTCTCTTCTATCCGTTTTCCCTCAAATATCCTAGTTTTTCTCAAGTGCAGTTCGAGTGTTTTACTTGCTCGGCCAACTGTCAATTCTGTTTTGTGTCTCCATTTGTGTGCTGAAGCAGTCAAGTTACCCTCGAGCTATATCTACTATACCTTCTAAATTTCAGGTAAATTTCAATTCTTTGAGCTCTTTGCAAAACCAAAAGTTACAGTTTTAAGGTTGCGTTTGGTTCTTGCAGATAACGAATATGACATGCATACTCTCCTCTTTCAATTATCAACCATTTCATTTGCTTAAATTGAATGATACAGATTGAAACTTTAATTTGTTATTGTCCTTAAAATCTGTTGAATTTCTTCAGGTGGTGGCTCTATTGTTCTAGTCTTGAATTAGGTGAGATATTCTTGTTTTATGAGGTTGTTGTACCTTGCGCAGCGAGTATGGTACATGTGATAAAAAACTTACCTACTTTGGCAGTTTACTTACATGGGAATGAGAAGAACAATCGATTTTGTTATTCAAGAAGGGCTAAGTTAAGATACCCACGTGAGATATTCGCTCTTTATACTGGAAAAGTAAAAGGGTGTCTTAGTTTTAATGGTTCTAATCTGGTGTATGTTTCTGAAAATTGCACTATGTTTGGATTTTCACAGCTAAAGTTACCATCAGTTTTATTTAGCTTCAAGGAAGTGAATAACCTGTGCAGCATAGCTCTGAATGTCCCTTGTGAACTTGAATCCGTGTGTGATAGAGAGAGTGAGGATTCTGATGTCCAAAACGGAAATTCAACCAATGATGCATATAAGCTGGAATTGTCTCGTAAGGACTGTTTGACGAATTCAAATATTGGAAATCTTGATACAAACCAACCTTCAAGTTTTCTTGAAGAAACTAAAAATTCGGGTGAGGATGTGATTATGTACTTAGAAGAGACGAATGAGGAGGTATTGTCAAAAAGGATCTTGAAGCTCAGCAGGCAAAATAAACCCAAAAGTGCATTGGCGATATACAAGTCGATGACTTTCTCAAGTCTTAAACCTGATTTACATGCATGTAATTCCCTTCTTTCAAGTCTCTTGAGGAATGGAATGCTTGATATTGCTTTAAAAAACTTCAACTCCATGAAGGCTAGTGGGCTAACAACTGGCCACACTTATAGCTTGATTCTGAAGGCAGTTGCTGATGCTCGGGGTTGTAATGCAGCAATGAACATGTTCAGTGAATTGATAAGCAGTAAGAATCTTAAAGAAAAAATTGACATTGTTGTATACAACACGATGATATCCATTTTTGCAAAAGCAAACAGCTGGTATCAGGCACAAAAGATCTGGAACATTTTGAAGGATAATGGTCAAGTTGGAACGATAGTCACTTACCGTCTACTAGTTTGCACGTTTGTTCGTTGTGGTCAGAATGAATTAGCTATTGATGCATACAGTGAGTTGATTCGAAATGGATTGAGCCCAGAAGGTGATACAATGCATGCTATTATTGGAGCATACTCTAGGGAGGGCAAGTATGATTCTGCATTGAACGTCTTGCAATATATGTTGGACAACGAGCTGAAGCCAAATGAAAGAGCATGCAACGCAGTGATCAACTCACTTGGAAAAGCTGGCAAAGTCAAACTTTCCTTTGAAGTTTATGAGTTGATGAAATCACTAGGTCATGCACCTGACGCGTACACATGGAATTCATTGCTCAATGCCTTAAACAGGGCAAATCGATATTCAGAGGCACTTCAGCTCTTTGAGAGAATCAGGAATCTTCAAAGTGTCATTTTGAATGTGCATATATACAATACTATTTTGACATCGTGCCACAGACTTGGGTTGTGGGACAAAGCTATACAGATACTGTGGCAGATGGAGGCTTCCGAAATTCCGGTTTCAACTGCATCCTATAATCAAGTAATTGGAGCTTGTGAGGTAGCGAGAAGGCCCAAGGTTGCGTTACAAGTTTATTACCGCATGGTTCGCAAAAAACATTCTCCTGACATATTTACTCTATTGTCGTTGATGAGAGTTTGCATCTGGGGTTCTCTCTGGAATGAAGCAGTGGAAATACTAAAAGTAAGTCAGACATTCATTGCATCTACTTGTAACATAACTATTCCCTTCTTCAACTTCCCTGCCATATCGCATATAGATTAAGTTTATGGGCTCAGAGAATATGCTACAACTGTTGATTTGATTGTTTTATTGTTTGTCTTGAGAAGGGCGATTATGTATTTGATTGTTCTTTATCTTTTTTTGGGTTAAGAATTTATTTGAGAGTAAACGTGCTGATTCATCATGATTTACATCTTCTTCTAACATAGCTGTTCCCTTCTTTAACCTCCCTGTCATGTTCCAAATAGATGAAGTTTACAGGCTTGGAGTATATGCTATAAGCCTTTAACTGTGTATTTGATTGTGCTTTTTCTTTTTCGGGGTAAGATTTTATTTGAGAGTAAACTTGCTGATGCATCATGACTTGTACGGAAATCTGCAATTTGGAATATCAGAAACTCAAACCTATTGGGAAAAAACTACAGGGAGTGTTGATTATTGACTTGATTATTTCTCTGTTCAATTCCTTAAGTTTTTTTTAAAAAAATCTTTGACATTGGATGGAAGTGATTAGGGAGGAAGGAAGCATAGAAGCTATCAAACTATGATTA